CAGGTGCCACTGACCACAAAGTCATCAGTCACCATGGGGCAGCCAATGAGGTCTAGAGAGCAAATGAAGGGCTTAAAGGTCTTCGGGTCCAACCCAGCAATGACTGGCTCAGTGTAGTAGGGACCAAACCGTTTCTCATACAAAAGGTTGGCCACCATATTCATGAGGGTATAAGGTTTGATCTGCCGACCTTCCTTTAACTCATACAGGTTCGGCCGGAACTTGAGGCGCTGGGCAACTGTCTGGACGTCAGTGGCGAGGCCCGCCAGACCGATATATAAACGGTCACCCATGGGAAAGATCTTCTGGAAGTCCGTGGTCACCATCTGGGCTTGGATACCGAAGCGCCTGTCTGCAGCGATGGCCACACAGTTCTTCCCCTTCATGGCCATGACGGCCTCTCCATTATAGGACATAATAGACATATTTGCGATGTACTAGGACCCTCACTCTCGGGTGCAACTCCAGTAAATCGGTTTCAGCCTTCTCTGCGCAACCACTCTCGCTGCTTTCACTCCACTGGCTGATAGGCCAACCTGTTATTATATCTTTGATTAAGCTTTCTACTCCTTGCTTTTGCTCAACTACTTCAACACCAATAATACTTAATTGGTTGAGGTAATTTTCTTTCTTTTTTCCCTTTTTCTCACTGCTAACAGTTGTACAATAAGGTAATTTTATCTTTTTATTTTTTAATTTCTTTTCTTTTACTATTATTATTTCTTAATTTTTTTTTTTTTTAATGTTGCCCTCAGTTGAGTAGTATGGCCTCACAGCTCATGGTAACCTCAAATTCCTAGGCTTAAGCAATTCTCTTGCCTCAGCTTCCCAAGTAGCTAGGACTCCAGGTACCTGTCATAATGCCTGGCTATTTTTGTTGTTGTAGCTGTCATTGTTGTTTAGTAGGCCACAGCTGGGTTCAAACCCGCCAGCCTCGGTGTATGTGGCTGGCGCCCTAACCACTGGGATACAGGCACTGAGCTAGTCATTTTGTCTTTTAAGTGATGTTCATTCTTTCTCATTCTTTTTTCTTCTCTGTGTATTTTCTCATAGCCTGTCTTCGAGTTCACTATTTTTTTTCCTCTGCTTGATCCATCCTGATATTGAGAGCTTCTAATAAGTATTTCAGTTCAACATATGTATTTTATAGTTCCAATTACAACCTCTTTGTTAAATTCTCTGTTAAATTTCTGAACTGCTTTTCTTTGTTATCTTGGAGATCACTGATTTCCCATTAAACTATTGTTTTGAACTCTTGGCCAGAGAATTCACATATTAACATCTCATTAGGGTCAGTCAGTGATTACTAGTTTTGTCCATTTGAGATTGTGATTCTCTGTTTGCTGTTGTTTCTTGTGGATGTATATTAATGTACACACTGAAGGATTAATTATTCATCCCTGTTATCTCTGTATATCTTAGTTAGATTTTTTTTACTGGATTATGTTTGCTTGGAGATTCTTTGTAATTATCTGTTGAGTTTCTTTCTTTTATTTTTTCTCCCAGTAAGTCCTCTCAGGGACTCGATGGGGTATACGCCCAGGTTTGCCTTGGTTCCAGTAAGCAATCAGAGTGCTACCTGTCCTGGATAGGGTAGTTCCCAAATGAGATACCATGGCAGTGTGGGAATGATGGCTAGGTATTGCTGCCTAGGGGACCTGTGGGATGAATCTCCTTAAGTGTGGTGCTGCTAAAGAGACACTATGACTCAGTGTCTCTTGTAGCTGAATAACAAGAGTAGAGTTTCCAGGGCTGAGGCTGGTGGACTCACTTATCCTTGTTACTGGCTAGCTTCTGGGATATTTCTCCCTTCAAGCACTTCCAATATTTACTGTGGGTTGAGGTACAGACAGTTCTCCTGCCCAGAAACCATAAAGGGTGGGTAAGCTGGTAGTCTAACTTCGTTTCACTTTCTCCAGTATAGAAACCATGAGATGGGAAGAAATTTTCTGCTCACTTATTGCCAGGCATAGTAAAAGAAAGTTCAGCTTTTAAAGTCTGCCTGGAGTTTTTTTTCACCCTCTGTGGCCACAGAAACTTTTTCATCCTCATATCTGAGTTCTGGGATGTTGCTGGTGATAATCTCAGAACTGTAAATATTTGTTTTTGATTGTCTGTGGGGTTGAGGGTATGAAGCCAGCTTGCTTATGTCACCATTTCGGAACCATAAGTTCCTGTTTTTACGTATTCTGAATACCATTTTTAAAGAACAGCTTTTTAATTTTTAGGAAGTCTAATTTATATTTTTCACTTAGAGTTCATACCTCTTCTGTTCTTTTTAAGAAATTTTTGCCTACCTAGGCTATCCATCTCCTTTAGTAGTTATCATTTCTGTGAGTTGGGAACATTTTGAGTGCTCTCTAATAGCTATTTTGATATATATATAATACATTGGTGCTAATTATAGTCACCCTACTCTGCTATTCAGTAGGATTATTTCTTTTATTTGGCTATGTATTTGTGTCCACTAACCAACCTCTCTCAATCTCCCCACACACTTTTCCCTGCCTCTGGTATCTATCAGTCTATTCTCTCATCTCCACAAGATCAACTATTTTAGTTCCCATATGCAAGTGAAATCATGTAATATTTATCTCTGTGTTCTTTATTTCACATGCAATATTTGTTTTTCTCTGCCTGGATTATTTTATTTAACATAATATCCTCCAGTTCCATCCATATTGCTGAAAATGAAAAGATTTTGTGCTTTTCTAAGGCTGCATAGTATTCCACTGTGTGTGTGTGTATGTGTGTGTGCACCCCATGTTTTCTTTATCCACCCATCTACTGAAGACAGTTACATTGATTCCCTATCTTTGCTCTTGTGATAGTGCTGCAATAAGCATGAGGGTACAAGTATCCCTGATATACTAATTTCCTTTGGATTAATTCGCAGTAGTGGAATTACTAAGTTGTATGGTAGTTCTATTTTTAGTTTTTTGAGTAAGCTCTATACTGTTCTCCATGTATACTAATTTACATTCCCACCAACAGTGTATAAGAGGTCTTTGTTTCTACATACTCACAAAAATCTGTTATTTTTGTCTTCGTAATGGTAACCACCCTAACTAGAAAAAGATAATTTTGATCAGAATTTCCCTTAGTGACTGAGAGCATTTGTTCATATACCTGATGGCCATTGTATGTCTACTTTTGAGAAATATGTCCTCTACTCGTAAATGCATTTTTTTAAATGGTTGAGTTTTTGAGTTCCTTGTATATTCTGGGTAGCCTATAGCTGAATAAACAGTTTGTAAATATTTTCTTCCTTTCTATAGACTGTCTTAACATTTTGTCAATTATTTCTTTTGTTATGTAGAAGCTTTTAAATTTAATATGGTACATTTGTTTATTTTTGATTTTGTGGCCTGTGCTTTTGAGATCTTAGGCATAAAATACTTGCCTAGAATGATGTTCTGAGAGAATTTCCCCTACCTTTTCTTCCAGTAGTTTCATAATTTTAGGTACTACACTTACATCTTTAATTCATCTTCAGTTGATTTTTGTATATGGTAAAAAACAACTAATGTATATGAACTCCCAATTTTTCCAGCACCATTTATTGAAGAGAGTATCCTTTCCCCAATGTATGTTCACAGCACCTTTGTGGAAAATCAGTTGGATACAGATATGTGGACTAATTTCTTGTTTTTTAATTCTGTTCCATTGGTCTGTGTGTCTGTTTTTTAGAATACCACCAGGCTGTTTGGTTGCAAAAGACTTGTAATATATTATTAAGATAGTGTGATATACCTCTGTGTTCTTTTTGCTCAAGATTACGTTAGCTATTCAGGCTCTTTTTTGGTTTCATATGAATTTTAGAACTTTTTTCTATTTCTGTGAAAAATGACATTGGTGATTTGATAGAGACTGCATTAAATCTACAGGTTGCTTTGAGTAGTATGGTTATTTTAATGTTATTAATTCTTCCAATCCATAAATACATAGATATTATCTAAGGTATTGTTTGGGTAGGGCATTTTGGCTTTGATTCTAGATATAGGTAATAGTGTAGTCTCCCCATAATTTCTTTGGCTATAAACATCCTCAGTGGTATCTGATATATTTTTTATTTTACACAATAAATTCTAACCATTAATATTCTAGAATAGTTTGAGGACAATTGATGTTTGTTCTTTGTGAGTTTGGTAAAATTCAACAAAGAAGCCATCCAGTCTTGACCTTTTATTTGTTGGAAGACTTTGTGCCCTCTTCAATTTCTTTCATCGATGTTTTATAGTTTTACCTATAAAGGTCATATCCTTGGTTAAATTTATTCTTTGGTGGGTTTTTTTGTTGTTTTTGATTTTTTTCATAGTTACTGTAAATGACATAGCTTTCTTGATTGCTTCTCAGGTAGTTCATAATTGGTATATAGAAACATTGTAACTTTCCTGAATTTATCATATCTGAGAGTGTTTTAGTAGTCTCTAGGTTTTTCTAAACCATTATCATGTGCAAAAAGGGACAATTTGACTTCCTCTTTTTCTAATTTGGATGCCTTTTATTTCTTTCTTTTGCTTCACTGCTCTGGCAAGGACTTCTAGTGCTATGTTGAATAGAGGCTGTGAAAGTAAGCATTCTTGTCTTGTTCCAGTTCTTAAAGGAAAGGTTTTTAGCTTTTCTTCACTTGGTATGATGATGGCTGTGGATCTGTCAGATATGGCCCTTCTCATGTTAAGGAGTATTCCTTCTATGCCTAGTTTGCTGAGAGTTTTGAGAGTTTTTTACCATGAAGGTATATTGAATTTTATCAAATGCTTTTTCTGAGTCTTGATATGATTATATGATTTTTCTCCTTCATGCCGTTGATGTGATGTATAGTATTTATTGACTTGTACATGCTGAACCATCCTTGTATCCCTGGGATGAATTTCACTTTATCAGGGTATATTATCTGCTTCATGTGCTATTTGATTTGGTTTACTAGTTTTTTGATGAGGATTTTTGTGTTTTATCAGGATAGTGTCCTATATTTTTCTTTGTCTTCATCTGGTTTTGGTATCATGGTTTAGCTGGCCCAGTTAAGTGAGTTAAAGAGAACCATTAATTTTCTAGAATAGTTTGAGGACAATTGATGTTTGTTCCTTGTTTAAGTTTGGTAGAATTCAGCAGTGATGCCATCCATTCCTGACCTTTTATTTATTGGAAGATTTTTTACTATTGATTCAATCTCATTACTTGTTATTGGATTGCTCAGGTTTTCTATTTCTTCCTGATTCAACCTTGTTAGGTCATATGTGTCCAGGAATTCATCCATTTCCTACAGGTTTTCCATTTTGTTAGTGTAAAATTGTTTATAATAGTCTCTAATGATCTGTATTTCTGTGATATCACTTTTAATGTCTCCTTTTTCAGTTCTGATTTTGTTTATTTGTGTCTTCTCTTTTTTTTTCTTGGTTAGCCTAGATAGGAGTTTGCATATTTTATTTATCTTTTAAAAAAATCATCTTTTCATGTGATGATCCTTTGTATGTTTTTTTGTTCTCTCTTTTTTTTTAGTCCTAGTTTGGTGTTCATTATTTCTTTCCTTCTACTGACTGTGGTTTGGTTTGATCCTTGAGGTGCATCTTTAGATTTTTTTTTTTTTTTTGGCAGTTTTTGGTTGGGGCTGGGTTTGAACTCACCACCTCCAGTATACAGGGCCAGTGCCCTACTCCTTTGAGCCACAGGAGCTGCCCCATCTTCAGATTTTTTTATCTAGAATCCTTCTACTTTTTGGATGTAGGCATTTATTGCCACAAACTTCACTCTTAGCACTGCTTTTGCTGTATCTTTTAGGTTTTGGTATGTTTTATTTCAATTTTCATTTGTCCCAAGACTTTTTTTTTTTTTTTTGAGACAGAGCCTCGAGCTGTCCCCCTGGGCAGAGTGCTGTGGCATTTACAGCTCACAGCAACCTCCAATTCCTGGGCTCAAGCGAGTCTCCTGCCTCCGCCTCCCAAGTAGCTGGGACCACAGGCGCCCGCCACAACGCCTGGCTATTTTTTGGTTGCAGCTGTCATTGTTGTTTGGCGGGTCTGGGCTGGGGATTCGAACCCACCACCTTAGGTGTACGTGGCTGGCGCCTTAGCCGGTTGAGCCACAGGCGCCGGGCCCAAGACATTTTTTTATATCCTCCTTCATTTCTTCTTTGACCCAATGGCCATTTAAGAGCATGTTGCTTAATTTCCATTTATCTGTACATTTCCAACAAAGTTTCTCTTGTTAATTGATTTCTAGTTTTAGCCCATTGTAGTCTGAGAAGATACTTCATTTTGAATTTTAAAAAAATTGTTAAGGCTTGTTTTGCATCCTAATGTGTGCTCTATTCTGGAGAATGTTCTATGTGCAGATAAAACGAATTATTTTATATCTGTTGGATGAACTGCTCTATAAATACCTGTTAGGCTTATGTGGTCTAAAATGCAATTTTAGTTTATTTTTTTTAATTTTTCATTTAGGTGATAGGATGCTGAGAGTGGGCTATCAAGTCTCCTGCTATTACTGCATTGGAATTTATCTCATTAGATCCACTATTTGCTTAATATATCTGGGTGCCCCAGTACTTGGTGCATATATGTTTAGAATTATGTCCTCTTGTTGAATTGATACCTTTATCATTATATAATGACCTTTGTCTCTTTTTACTGTTTTAGACTTACAGTCTATCTTAGTATAGCTACTCCTACTTGCCCTTGGTTTCCACTTGCCTGCAATATTCTTTTCTATCCCTTTACTTCCAGTCCATATGTGCCCTCCTAGGTGAGACAGATTTTTTGGTAGGTAGTTGGGTTATTTTTGTTGTAATCTCATCAGTCAGAGTATATCTTCTAAGTAGAAAGTTTATTCCTGGTTATTACTGATATGTAAGGACTTATTTCTATCATTTTATTAACTGATTTTTGATTGTTCTGTATATTCTTTGTTTCTTTATCACTTATTGTGTATCACTGTGGTTTGGTGGTTTTCTACAGTTATAACATTTGAGGACTTTCTCTTCCTTATTTGTGTATTTGCTCAACTGGTGGGTTTATACTTTCATTATGTTTTTATGACAGTAGATATTATCCTTTACTTCCACATGTAGGACTCCTTTAAGCATTTCTTGTAGGGCTGGTTTAGCTGTAATAAATTTCCTCAAAATTCTGCTTGTTTAGGAAAGATTTTACTTCTTCATTTATAAAGGATCATGATGCTGGGTATAGTATCCTTGGATAGCAAGGTTTTTTCATTACAAAACCTTAAATATATAATCTCATTTTCTTCTGGCCTATAAGGTTTCTGTTAAGAAATCTACTGATAGTCTGATGGGGGTTCTGTTCTAAGTGACTAGATGCTTTTCTCTTGTTTTTGGAATTATATCTTTAGATACTTTGATGATAATGTCCCATGGAGAAGACTTTTCTGAATTGTATCTATTTGGAGATTTCTGAGCTTCCTATATTGGATATCTAAATCTCTTCCCAGACATCAGAGGTTGTCAGCTATTATTTTCATTATATAGGTTTTCTATCCTTTTTGTCTTTTCTTTACCTCAGGGACACTGAAAATTTGAATATTTGATCCAGTATGGTGTTCAATATGTCATGTAGGCTTTGTTCTTTTTTATCCTCCCCACTCTTTTTTTAATTGTTTTGTTTTGTCTGACTGGGCTACTTCAAGATAACTGATTTTCAAGTTCTTAAATTCTTTCTTCTATGTGATCTAGTCTATCAAATCTTTCAAGAATATTTTTTATTCTTTACTTCTAGAATTTGTTTAGTTCTTCTTTATAATAATAGCTATTGTTAGTAAATTTCTCATTCTGAATGTTTTTCAAATTTCTTTGTATTGTTTATCTGTATTCTCTTGTATCTCAATGAGCTTCTTTAATATTATTTTGAAGATTTTCAGGGATTTTATAAATTTCTTTTTCACTGGAATCTGCTGTTGAAGAATTAATTGTGTTCCTTTGGTGTCATGTTTCCTTCCTTCCTTTTTTTGAGACAGAGTCTCAAGCTGTTGCCCTGGGTAGAGTGCTGTGATATCACAGCTCACAGCAACCTCAAACTCTTGGGCTTAAGCAATTCTCTTGCCTCAGCCTCCCACATAGATGGGACTAAAGGTGCCCACCACAATGCCTGGCTATTCTTTTGTTGCGGTTGTCATTATTATTTTAGCTGGCCCGGGCTGTGTTCAAACCTGCATCCTTGGTGTATGTGGCTGGTGCTCTACCCACTGAGCTACAGGTGCCGCCTCCTTCCTTGTTTTTTTATATTTCTCGTGTCCTTACCTTGATATCTGCACATCTGGTGTAAGAGTTGCTTCTTTCAATATTTTGAATTTGGGGAGGACTTTTTTTCTGAAGATGTTATCTATGGTATTGTTTGGGTAGGGGATTTTGGCTTTGATTCTAGGTATAGGTAGTAGTGTCTTGCCATAATTTCTTGCCAATTTCTTTGGCTGTAAACATCCTCAGTGATGTCTGGGATTTCCTCTGTTTTGCTTAGGATAGAGGCTGTGCTTAAGTTTTGTCGGGGATGGGGATGCCAGGTAGGCCAAGTTCTTGGCCTCCAGTGGTAGCAGTGGTATATCAAGCATGCCTTTTTGGGGGGCCTCAGGATGGTACTTAGGGTGTTAGCAGATCCAGGGAGATTGAATTTTGGGCCTTTTTTTTTTGCATGCTTCTAGTGATAGTAGTAGACTAGGCAGGTGGGAGATTCCTTGAGCCCCTGTTTAGTGCGTGTAGTGTAGGCAATAGCAGTAAGAGTTATGGAACAATCTTCTGGCTCCTAAGAAGTCCACACTGGTATTACTGCAATGACCTAAAAAAGGGCAGTTCTCAGGCCCACAGGTAGCATGTACGGGTGGGCCCCAGCTGTGGTGGTAGCTGCAGATTGGGTAGGCCTGTCCTCAGGCCTCTAGGAGAAGTGCATAGGTACTAATTGTGGGGGCTAGGGTAGAGTAATTCCCAGGCCTCCAGATAGCATGCCTGAGCTCTTGGAGGGTATGCAGAACCAGGCCAAGTGGATGTAATCTATTTTAAATTAATTTTTATATATGGTAAAAACTAAGTGTTCAGTTTTTTGAGATTCATTTTTTTTTGCAAATGAAATGCAAAGGTTCCAACTCTATATGTTAAAAGAACATCCTTTCTCTATTCAACTGTCTAGCACCATTATCAAAAATCAACTGACTACCTATGTGAGAGTCTTTCTAGAAGCTTTATTCTGTTCAATGTCCTATATATAAAACTTAGTGGTTCTCACTTGGGGATGATTTTGTCCCCCCATATATACACAGCAATTTATGGAAACATTTTTTGGTTATCACAAGTGGAAAATGTGGGTGCCACTGGCAAATAGTGGGTAGAGATAAGATACATTGCTAAGCTAAACATCCTACAATGTAGAGGACAGTACATCACAGTAAAGAAATATCCAGCCACAAATGTCAATAATGTGAAAGTTAAGAAACCCTGGTCTACACTGGTATAATAAATCTTGGCCATAGCACAACTACATATTAAGTTCTAAAAGTCCTTCAAACAAATCTCCAAATGAAGGGGTGATACTGGTGACTCCCAACACAAATACAAATAAGAGAATTACTTTTCTCTTGTTTTATGAGACATTTTTTGGGATAATGTCCCCAAACATGATTTTCCCACTGTGAAAATTTGACGTTTAAGTGGTTTCATTTAAGTGGCCTTTTCCCCATACAAATAACCAGTAGGTTCATCACTTTAATGATTGTTTGCTTTCTTCATCTTGTAACCATGAGAATTTATCTATTCTTTATAAATTTTAATATCTTAAAAGCCAAAGGGCTTCTTTTTGTCAAAAGTAGTCACTAGGGACATTATTCTTCTTGTTGGTAGTGGTTTCCTTTACTAATTTCCAAAACCAATAATTATTCCTCAAAAGTCTATATCACCTATTGATAATAATAAAAGTTTTCTCCCAAGATTTGTCAAACGAAAAGATGAGCTTAAATGATGAGAAGAGTTTTAAGGTCTAGATTTGAAATTCAGCACCCTAAAATAATGACCCTAGTAATCTTCTCTTGAGATAATTTTATCACAGTTGCTTAAATAATGAAAAATAAGGGAGAAACGGAAAAAACAAATAACTCACATTGCTGCCCTAAACCCACTGAGAAATTCTGAGTTAAAAAAAAAGTCTGTCACATGTATCATGACTATAATTGAGTCTGTGTACAACAGCATATAATCTTAGACCATGTTAAATGGAATGTATTAGACTTATAGCCTGTGTTTACTCTTTCTTCTAACTTACATGAATTATGTACTGAAAAGACAATGGAAAAATGACAACAATATATATTGTTTTTCAAGTCCATTATTGTATCTTCATTTATAATTTTAAATAGGTTTTTAGAATCACTTGTTTTAAGGAATCACTTTAGTTTTCAGTTTAAAATATATTCATTTTCTTCACTCATTTTCCTAAGAAAAGCAATAGAAACCTAATCTCATGTGCACTATACCTTTAAATGATTGTTTGCAACAGCATCATGTAACGGCAGAATTCCATCTAAATTTTCACAATTAACATTAGCACCAGCTTTTAATAATTCCACAATTATATCATTAGATCCTACATTAGATGCTTCATGAAGTGGTGTCCAACCTAAAAAAGGAAAATAAAATTAAAAAAACCAAGACCAATCTGCTCCTTACAAATCAACATTCATGTAGTATCTTTGTACTAGGTTTTGTTGAATTATTATCTATACTGATTCATATGTACATACTAAGCATTGAATAAGAAATAATACTTAAAAACTATGGATTTAAAATATATAAGTTTCATTTTTGAAAACAGATTGATCTCGTCACAAATACTTGAAATACATACCAAAGCAGGAGATTCATGGAATGTAAAATATAACGACACCACAGTAAATACTAATCATTTCAACCTGTTTTAACTCAGATATTAAAATATCTGACATTCATCTTTGTATATTTGCATCATCATCACATTTCTCTTTTAAAATGACATCTGATATGATAAACCTTTGAGTATTTCCCTGTGGAATTCTTCACACAAGATTCTTTTGTGCTTCAGCAAAATGTAAGAAAAATTTTTTAAATGGAGATTTAAAATGAAAATAAGGGAAATCAGAATAAGGAACATTATAAAGAAAAAACAAAAGAGAAGAAAGGACAGTAAAATGAGAAATGTTGCAATTTCTCCAAAGTTAGGGGATGGAATTAAAATTTTCAAGGAAAATTCCTTACTCTGTATAACCTCATTGAATGCTCCCAAATGGATGTTAAAAACTTTTCCAAAGGAGAAAGTTATTTTAGCATGATAAATCTTACTATTCGATTAAATTATTATATAAAAAAGACTGTTCAAAGTTATCAGTTATATACCAGAGAGGCTCAAATTTGGGAGGAGGTTTTGAAATGTGTATTTTAGTGAGCTCAGATTATAGAGACAAACTAAAAGGATCCAAACCTGCATTATCTTTAAGATTCACATCTGCTCCAGATGCTATTAGAGATTTTACCATAGACAAATTTCCTCTTCTGGCAGCCAAATGAAGCTGACTTTCCCCTTTGGCATGCCTCTTATTGATCCCAGCTGTTTTCATTCCTGTAAATTTGCCAAGCAAAATAGAGGCTTCTTTTCTACCAAATGCTGATTACTATAAAGGATCTTAGAAAATACAGAACAATTTTCTCAAAATATCATAAGCAGAGTGGACTACACAGAAACATCAATCAATTAATATTATTATTGCTGTTATTGTTTTAAAGTATAACGTGAAGAAATTATAGAGCATCTCAGCACATTACTTGCATTCACTCTAGTGTTCAGTCATTCTATCAAACGCTTGATTAAAACACACTTGCTTTGGTTCTACGCTTATCTCACTCTCAGTAGTTGTTTAGCAATGGCTAAAATGTTTCTTAAAATGATTTGTGGTATTATAAAATCCTCTTTCTACAGCTGTTCTGTATATCAATGGGTGTATTCCCGATCACCCAGGTAACGAACACCAGTCTATGGCCTATTGGGTTTTCTATTTTTCTTTCATAAAAAAGTAGTACTATATCATTTTCCAAAGATTCTTTTTGTTAATTTAATCTTTTCTTTGCAATGCAAGTTGGAGAGACTAAAAAACATACAATTCTGTGTTTTTCCCATTTCCTGTCAAAACCATGCTGAAATGAATTTTGAAAGTACCATCTATAAAAAATAGAAGAGGAAAACAACACAGGACAAAGATGTCAATAAATTTGGGGGAACTATAAAGTCACTGATGGAGAAAAGTGAATGGACTTGGCAGAGTAGGGAAAGTCCCACCCAAAGTACCTGCAACGAGCATTATAAATGGGGCCAATCTGAATCCAGGCACTCTGAACTTGGGGCATCAGGTACCATGGAAGACAGGTGTATAGACTGGGACAGGAAACAGGGAGAATGATTAAAACATTTACAGACAGAAAAGTTGGGACTCGAAGTTACCTTCCCCACCCCTGAATTGCTTTCTCTTACGCCAGTTCCCCAATCTAAAGCCAGAAATCTGAAGTTTTGTTTTCTGTAAAAACTATATCAGAGAAACTTTGAACTAAGAAGCAAGGCAAAATAAAGGGTTAGGATGATGAAATGGTAGGGTCAGTACCACTGAGGAAACCTGTTAGAATTGCAAATTCTCCAATCTACCCCAAACTTACTCCGGAAGGCAGACTCTAAAATGGCTCCTAGTGATCCTCATGTTCTGCTATTTATGGCTTTGTAGTCCCCTCTTCTTGAATAATTTACTTCTGACCAATAGAAGACTTCAACACCGAGGGTATTTCCCTTCCTTGATTAGTTTATAAGAGATTGAAATGTTTTTTCTGTCCTTTCTTCAGTCTCTATACTTTGATGATACAAGAAGTCCATCTGGAGAAGCCAGGGCAGCAAGAAACTGAGGATGGCCACCAGCCAACAGCTGGCTAGGAACTGGGGCCCTCAGTCCAACCAGCCTCAAGGAAGTGAATTCTCCCAACAACCACATAAGCTTGACAGCTTGATAAGCTTCCCTAGTCCAATCTTCAGATGACACCCTAGTCCTGACCAACACCTTGACTGCAGACTATGAAAGTTCCTGTCAGAGGACTTGACTAAGTCATGCCCATTTCCTAATCTACAGAAGCTATGAGATACTAAACGTGTATTGTTTTAAATCATGGTTATTATGTTTGTGGTAATCTGTTATGCAGCAACACAGACAACTAACAAACCTACTAAATTAGATCCTTTGAAGGTTAGGCCCAGCAATCTGTGTGTTAACAAGCTTTTCAAGAGATTCTGATGCAAACTAAAGATTGAGAACCACTGCATTAAACTTTGAGACTCTTCTAGCCCTATTTCCTAAATTTTGTCAACCATGCATGTAATTTCAGGGCAAGGGATAAAAACTTAGGGGATTATTCTCTAAAAATAGATTCTTGGCTTATATGAATCATAGGGAAGATTGATAGTATCCATTCACATCCACCAAAAACATACTGCTCATTAGAGACTGGCACTCAAAAATTCTTTACTGGAAGAATTAAAGACGTGTGTGTGTGTATAAAAACAGAGAGAAGGAGAATATATTTGAAAGTCATAAAATATCTAAGATGGTGGGCCTGCAGATTGCAAGTTTGAATTGAAAAACCTCTCCCAATTATTATTTCTTTCTGTGGATGTCCCTGATATGTTTGTAGCAAAGAAGGTAGCCATGTGATAAACACTGTGGAGCAAAAACTCAAAAATAACTCAATGCTTACGGTTATAAATCTGTATAGCATTTAACTGAAAATTTAAAACACAATCTGCCAGATGTTCAAAAGGAAGCAAATAGTACTTACACTAAATCTCTTCGCAAAGTTCACCATAGTTTGAAATATGATGTTACTATTAATAAGTACAACACTATTAAGAAATATTCAGATTTCTGATCCTTTGTATATAACCAGTTTTTTATTCTCGGGAAACTTTCAGGATCCTCTTTTAATCCCTGTTCTGAAATTTCACAGTGAGGGGCCTTTCTCATCGTACTGGACACTTACTGGGCTTTTCAGTATGGAAACTCCTGTCTTTTCATTGCTTGTATTATTACTTTGATGACTTTTGATCACTGTTCTCCCTGGATTTCTTGGCATGACCTTCCAATTTGCTTATCTCTTCTCTATTTTCCAGCTTTTCTTCTTTTGTCCTTTGTAGGAGACTTGTAGAGCTTTAGATATCTACTGTTATTTAAAATTTCTGCCATTATATTTTTAATATCTCAGAGCTCTGTACTGTTCTCTGTCCTTTTCAACTTTTTTTAACATTTTAGATGTTTTGATTCTTATACTTTGTTTCTATTACTTCTGAGGGCTTTTGGTCTGTTTAGTTTAATTTGACAAGGGCTTTCTGCAAATACTTATTAATCTTTGGTTGTATTTTCATATTCAAATGAAAGGAACTAAAATTCTGAGTGGAAATCTATGGAGGGTAAGAGAGGGGAGCTGAACACAGCCTGGTTAAATTCACTGTCGGATGATAAGGAGGTAAGCCAACCTTTGTATTACTAAATAGATAGGAATATCTGCAATCCTTACTTCTAGGGCAGTTTAATTTTCTGCTCAAGTGGTTCACAGTCTACTGGAGTTACAGACATATAAAAAAAGTACATTTAAAAATGCCTAAGTGCTGGAGCGGCACCTGTGGCTCAAAAGAGTGGGGCGCTGGCCCCATATGCTGGAGGTGGTGGGTTCAAACCCAGCCCTGGCCAAAAACTGCAAAAAAAAAAAAAAAAAATGCTTAAGTGCTGCTAGGGAGGTATATAGTTTCCTGTGGTAGCTGTAACAAATTACCATAAACTGGGCAGCTTAAAACAATTTATTCTCTCATGATTTAGAGATCAGACAAAATCCAAGAGTCAGAAGGACTACACTCCCTCAGAAGCTCAAAGGCAGATTCCTTTCTTGCCTCTTTCAGCTTTTGATGGCTGCCAGCACTTCTTGGTTTCTTTGGCTAGTTGGCTACATTGCTCCTTTGCCTGTATCTTCATATCATCATCTCTTTTTCTGCTTGTCTTACATTTAGGGGCTATCTGGATAATCTTCTATGAGCTCCTTATCTCAGGGTCTTAAACTTGATCAGATACACAAAGATTCTTTTTCAAAAGCAAGATAATATTTACAAGTTCCAGAGATTAGGACAGGACATGTTTTGGAGGGCCACCATTCAACCCAGCCTAGGAAGTAAGTATCAAGAAGGGATTCAGTTTACATGAGAAGGAGAAAACAGAAGATTCACAGAGAATCTTAGAAGATCATAGAGAATGACTAATCCAGTATCCTTCCTACCTTAACAGACAGTAGATAAATCAACTTTTAGTGCTTAATGTTTAAGCTGAAGTGGATCTGCCTATTGTTCATCACAGAACTATCTCCAAGAACTATCAAAGGATAGTTAGTTTTTCCATATTGCCAAACACACACAGTTCATTCATCCAATATAAAGAAATTAGTAGCTATGCTTCTTTAAGTTCCCTATGTTGAAAGGGCTGAATAGTAGTGGGGATCTGGCACAATGTATCCCTGCTGCCACCACTGAATATTGCTACCATCTCTGCTATTTTCCTTATCTCCTCTAATATAAAGAACTAGAAGTCATAGGCGGAAATACATCTGAAAGCAAGAATATATCTGAAGACTAATGTATTCTCAAGTGGCGTGTTAATAATAAGTATCTCTGAAATAATCTTATAACTTAGTGAGTACCTAAAAAAAACACAGTATATCTGAAAGTTTAGAAATTCTCTGAGTAGAGTGGACTGCTGGGCTTGATTATGTAAACTTTTACCTATATAATTACAGGAATACAAACCTTGGTTGTAGGGTGCTTTCAAAAAACTTTGTCTTTTTCTGAAATTCTGAACTTTCTTGTATTCTTGGATATCAGTGGGCATGTGAATTTCTGATTCTGTTCCTTCTTTTTTCTCCTTACAATTTCTTACAGAACTTTCACCTCCATTGGTATTAGTTAATTTCTCATCTGAAACACAAACATTTTATAGTATCAGTGTTGTAGTTCTCCTTAACAGTTGGTTATGACTAGAAGAGAAAATACATGTTTTAGAGTTTCTATTCTCTAAATAAGCTAGATTGTTTAAGCGAATGGAAGCTATTAAAAATGTTTTTATATAAAAAGCGTAAAGTGGCTCGGCGCCTATAGCTCAACCAACTAAGGCGCCAGCCACGTACACCTAAGGTGGCGGGTTTGAATCCCCAGCCCGGACCGCCAAAACAACGACGGCTGCAACCAAAAAAAAAAGCCGGGCATTGTGGCGGGCACCTGTGGTCCCAGCTACTTGGGAGGCGGAGGCAGGAAACTCGCTTGAGCCCAGGAGTTGGAGGTTGCTGTGAGCTGTAAAGCCACGGCACTCTACCCATGGGGACAACTTGAGGCTCTGTCTCAAAAAAAAAAAAAATTAAAATTAAAAAAAAAAGATAAAATAAAAAGCGTAAAGTGGCTCGGCGCCTGTGGCTCAACTGGCTAAGGCGCCAGCCACATACACCTAAGGTGGCGGGTTCGAATTCCCAGCCCAGGCCCGCCAAACAACAAAAAATGGCTGGCACTGTGGGGGGTGCCTGTAGTCCCAGCTACTTGGGAGGCTGAGGCAGGAGATTTGCTTGAGCCCAGGAGTTGGAGGTTGCTGTGAGCTGTGAGGCCATGGCACTCTACTCAGGGGGATAGCTTGAGGCTCCGTCTCAAAAAAAAAAAAAAAAGCGTAAAGTTTGCTGGCTACAATTCTGATGGGAATTCAGTAAATAGTTTAAATCAATGGAGCTAACAATTTTCTGCTATTAAAATGTTGTTGGGTTTCCTGATAACAAATAAGTGCTATATTAAAAGGAAACATAAAATTTTTATTTATTTATTTATTTATTTAGCAGTTTTTGGCCGGGGCTAGGTTTGAACCTGCCACCTCTGGCATATGGGACCAGCGCCCTACTCCTTTGAGCCACAGGCACCGCCGGAAACATAAAATTGATAGAAATATTGTTTATTAACTTGTTGATATCAGTTTAGTAGCCATCTTTCTAATAAAGATCTGATTTTCAAAGTAAACACTATTACTTAACTATTAGTCACAGCAGCATCACCAATAACGGCCCACATATCCTCATTTTTCTAAGTTTGGACATAGGTTGAGTAAAATTCAGTTTAAAATGTCTATAAAAATAAGTAAATCTATAGGAAATTGTACAAATTGAGTGATACTTCTTATACCTGATTTATGAGAAGATTCTTTCTCTTTTCTTTGATCAACTTGTATTATGTTTGTCAATTCTTTATTCATACTATCAGCAGAATGAAAATCTATATTATGTATCATCTCCCTTTCTGCAAGATTTTCTCTCTCCTTTTCAACTTTTGTTGTTTCTATTACTTGAGAATAAACAATTGCAGATAAAGGAACGTTTGAAGAACTTGTTTTCTGGCCTTTTTCATTGCAATTCCTTTTAGTAACTTGTTTTCTTGTTACCTTTTCCACAGTAGGAGTATCTGTTTGATTCATTAAAGGAGTTGGTGTTCTGAGGCTGTAATCCAGAGTCTTTTTGAATAAATCCACATGACTAGTCAACTCAGAAACCTCATGTGTTGAAAGTGTTCCCATATGAGTCTGCTTAGGATTGCTGTTTGAGTGATCAAAAGAAATTCCATATATGCAGTCTTCAAAATTTGTTACATGCTCAGAAATAACTGTATTATCTGAATCAGAAAAATGAACAGCTTCCTGTTGTGGAAGTCTGGTTAGGCTCTCTGCTTTTAATTCATTTTCCTGTGAAAAATGGTCTTCAGAAGGAGAAAATTGTTGTAAAGCTGTTTTTTCTCTATTTGTTATATTATTTTTATCATTACAGTGGTTTTTGTAATCTGTAGAACATATCAGCTTTTTAAATGTTACAGTCTTCTCAGAAATAGCACAATCACTATCATCATCATCAAAATTTCTCTTTCTAAATGATGGGAAAGAACTTTCCCATTTATTAAGTCTCTCATCTTTTTGAACTGAGTTACTGTTTTCATGAGATTTATAAGGGCTACCGTGTTGTTCTTGGAGAGTATAAGGTGGCTGATCAAGTGGTAACTTGATTTCTTTATGTAATGAAAGTCCTGAGAGAGAAATGGCTTCAGTTTGATCAATGGACTCTAATTCCAAGAACTGTGTTTCTTGATTATCCGATAAATCTATATTGTGAGTATGTGTCTCTTTGGAAACTGAACAAGCCTCAATATCATTATCTAATTTATTTTTCAGGCTTAATGAAGTTGGGCTGGAATGTTTACATGTCTCTTCTGAAAGGCCATCAAGAGTTTGGAGAACACGCTGTTGACAAGTAACCAATCTGCTTCTTCGCCTGGTTATTCTCCTGGAAGAAGTCAAAGCTAGTGTTTTTCTTGGATTGCTGTCTCCATCATCTACTTGAGTTCTTTTATGTTCTGTGTTTCTTCTTCCTTTACCTTTAGCTAATTTTGTGCTGGGATCTTTGATTTTACGAAAATTGCCTTTTCTGAGTCCTATAGCGTATATTTGGTTAACAGTTGATTGTTTACGCTTGGATTTATACAATATTGTGTTTTTGGAATCTTTGTGGTAATGTTCATATACATCTTCTTTATTTACAAATATATCCTCTTTGTTTTCTTTATTGACTTTTATGTGTTCTGGCTTCTGTCTGTTGGAATTTTCATTATGAACAAACCAAATGCAATTTTTAGAACTGAATTTTGGTTTCTAAAGAAAGAAAATGTATAGTTAGCTTTAATTTAGTGCTATACTCAATTCAATCTATATTGTTGACAAATTATTATTCCATTCAATTTTCTATCTGACCACAGGACTTGCAGTGATATAGCCAACCCATTATTTCAGAAAAGTAGACTAACAGAAGAAAGACAAAGATAATAGGTTTAGACTCAGTATGTATACTAATCTTTATTTCCTAATGTACATTTTAATTCCTTTTTTATTGATCTTATTAAACATAATACAAAATCTACTTAAAACTATATAGGTTTTTAAACTAATCAAAGTTTCCTTTATAAGAAAATGATTTAGAGAAACTCTCTTCTCCCAGTTGTTATGTAGCTAAACCTAGAATTAGGAGGGTTTCTTCCTCAGATATCTGAGAGAACTATAGGTAGGACAGTAGAAAAAGGACTTAAATATAAGAACATAGATATACTCCTAAACTGGCATGAAAAGATTATTGTGGGCTGCTAAGATTAAAACAGGAATATTGCTTCCTTTCACTCACCACAACTTAAGCACCAGATAAAAAGTAACTGCCTACCATGTCAAGTCTGAAGGGATGGACTGACACCTTTGATGCTGGCACTGTATTTAGGCCACAGGAAATGTGACATGGTTGAAAAACCTCAGTCTCCATAAAGAGGATGATAAAGGAAATGGCTACCAATAGATTAGTATGCCCAGATAAGCTACATTTACTCAACTGCTTCCCAAGCTAATAGCCCAGAACTTTTTGATCTCATGTAATTATTTGCTTAGAAGGAAATGTGAAATCACTGTTACTAATATTCCAGAAGTCTTTCTTTTCCTTCTCATGGCTATAAAATGAGAAAACCAGTATTTATATCCCATAAAAATGTTCATTACTAAGCACAAATGTACCTTGTGCTGGTGTACATCCTCTACATCTAATGGGTCAGTGCTATTCCTCTGAGCTGTAAACAAAAAGAGAAAATCAACTCTAGACTTCTAAAACCTGTAAGTCCTTCACCATGAGAAAACCAAATGGAATACGAGGATTATGCAAACATTTTATATTAAAATTAGCACATATAACATGCCTATAATTTGTAACTTCCATATTAGAAACCAAATATTATCTTAAGAGAGCTAAAAAACATCTCTATAGGAAAAGCAAAATAGACTTAACAAAATAACTAATGACAAGAATTGATTGACCTCAGTACTTTTCATTTTCCTCATTGATATATCCAGTTATGCCCTCTCCATTTAGTAGATTACATAACTATATGTAAGATAACTTTCTTGAGGCAAGATATTCTTTCATAATTAATTATATTATCTCCTAATACTTGTGCTTAATAAATCCTAGTTTGAATGCTGCATTCTCTTCAAAGTGAAACATATATACATGGAAAAGGTCAAACATCTTGTGACTGCATAGGGAAAAAAGCTGATGTGAAAAAAACACCTATGTTGATAATAAAAGTTAAGTACATTAGTGTTTCTTTTATTGCTTCTTTTAAACACTGAAGGTTGAATTATAGTTACCTATATATGCATTTGGCCACCAAAAAAAAAACCTAGAAATAATGGCATCCACATAGGAGATATTTAATGAATATTTAATAGAGGAAGGAATTTATGAATGAACATCTTAGATGTGATAATGAATACAAAGTTCCTTAAATATATTATAAGCTAGAAATGTAAAGGATATAATTGGAAAAGAGAAAAATTTAATTTATTTCTTGGGAATAATTTTCATGATAGTAATCAAATTATGATGCACATGATGAATCCTGACATTTACCCATTCACCTTGTTCAGGTGAGAAAAAGCACATGGAATATCCTTCTATCAAACAAAGGGGCTAGAAGCAGTCTCAGGAAACTTAGCCCTGAGTTTTAGTCCTGACTCATATGTTTACCAGCTGGGTGACCTTGGGTAAGTTTCTTAATGTCTCTGCCTCTAGAAAATGAAAGCTAATTAATAGTCCCAACCTTATAGAATTGTTGTGAAGATTAAATGATATAATCCATGTAAAGAGTTTAGAGGACTTCTTGGGCACATAGAAAGTGCTTCATTATTATTGTTTGTTATTGTTATTTTCCAAGATCATAAAAGACGATATGCCTTCTCCAAACTTTTGCTCTTAAAGGTCTGTTTGACCTTTTCCATGTATATATGTTTAACTTTGAAGAGAATGCAGCATTCAAATTAGGACTTATTAAGCACAAGTATTAGGAGACGATAATATAACTGGATACTTTATTTCCTATTTTTCAGATAGTCTGAAATATAAATGTGATTGTTTTAATAATTTATCTCAATGCACTTTTATATACCTGGCCTCAACAAGTTACCGTCGGCTCTCTTCTGATGTGATCTGGCTACTATCTGGTTCTAAGAACCATTAATTAATTGCCTCTTGGTGACAAAAGCTGCAAAGTATTAGGGTAATTGTTACATAGTGACAGATAACTAACATAGGTGAGAGAGGGACAAGGAAAGCTGCAGTATTAAATAGGGTGGTCTAGGTCTCATTGAGGTGACATTTGAATTTAGACTTCAGAAGGCCAAGGAGGAATACCTGAAAAACAATAAGGAAGCCAGCATGTCTGAAGTTGAGTTAACAGAAATTAGAGAGTCATAGAAGGGGCTAACCAGGAGGGTGACCAGCTGATAGAAGAACTTATAGGCCATTATAAGGAGATTAAAGGGAGAGCCATTGTAGGGCTCTGGGCAGAGTAATGTCATGTTACCAAAAATTCTAACAAATGCATTAAAGTGAGTATGAAGAATATGCCATGTATTAAATTATTTGTATGTAATATTTTTTATTGACATCTATAGATCAAGTTATTTTATAGTTCAGTTTAATAGAGCTATGTATGGAAGGGTTAGAGCAGTGGTTCTAAACCTTCCTAATGCCTCCTAATGCCGTGACCCTTTAATTCCTCATGTTGTATTGACCCCCAACCATAAAATTATTTTTTTTGCTACTTCATAACTGTAATTTTGCTACTGTTAGGAATCATAATGTAAATATCTGATATGCAGGATGTATTTTCAGTGTTACAAAGGGGTGGTGATGCACAGGTTGAGAACCGCTGGGTTAGAGTATAGCTGTAAGGAAAGATTCTCAGGGAATTGAAATAACCAATCCTGGCCACATTTCCTGAAAAAGATACAAACAAATATAATTTATATCACATCATGTTATACAATCAAATAACAATGGGAAAAAAACAAAAATTCATAGAAGATTTCTTAAGTGTTGGCAATGTAAAACCTGGAGAAAATTATTATCTTTCTTTTATTAAAAGAATGGAGCAAAGATACTAGTGGATGGATTTTCTCAAAACCTATAGGGAAAAATTTTATTTCTTTAATTTTAAATTAAATTTCTGTAACTTTTTACTCGTATGATGATCAGCTATAATAGGGCTGTTTGATCTTACCTGATATAAGACATTTTTGATGTTTAGGAATGTGTTTCTCAAGGAGACGCTTCATACGTGAATCTTTGGCCTCATCCAAAGCACACTTTCCACTGTCACTTCTAAATAATGGATCAGCTCCATTCAAAAGAAGTAACTGTGCCACCTAAAAAACAATTTTCATGTAAGGAAACTCAGATTAAGGGCATATTACTGTAACTGTGTGCCAGTATACAACTCTTAAGTAAGATTAAATATTTTTTTCAACAACACAGAATTTGGGTCTGTCACACTTTTGTCAATAAAAAGAGAATTAATGTAGTCGCGATTAAATTATAATTTATGGATACTCAAATCTCTTATTTAAAAAGACTGAAAAAAGAAAAGGAAGGAAAAGAGAAGAAAAAGAAGGGAGGGGAGAGAGAGGAAAGGAAGAAGGAAGATGAGAAGGTAGGTAGGCAGAGAAGAGGCTGGGGCAGAAGCTTCTGTGGATAAGCTACTAGTGAAATGAAGCTAGCAAATATACCAAGAATTAGCATTGAGTTCTGTAGTAGTAAATGTAATCTGAATAGGTTCTAGGACAGCTGTCCTCAAACTGCGGCCCCTGGGCCACATGAGGCCCACCTAGGACATTTATCCAGCTGCCAGGTGTCTTTGCTGCCGCAGCTTGTCCTGCTTAGTAGCCAACTTGTCCCAGGGCCGCAGTCTGGCCCTCCAATGATCTGAGAGACAGTGAGCTGGCCCTGTGTTTAAAAAGTTTGAGGACTCCTGTAGGAGATAGTTAACGTCTTCCCATCTATACCTGTGTTGCTGTTGCCTCTCTTCAGACTGTCAAGGAAAAAGTAGTCAATCTTTAATTGGTTACTACTCCTCAAGTAACATACTCTATGCAGTATCCCTGCCCACCCCACCGCCACCACACATACTGCTGCCCCAGAGAAAAATGACCTCTCCCTCCTCTCATGTATGATTTTATCATACTGCCAAATATACTCTATATTATACATGTACTTATTTATAGCTCTTATATATTTGTTTCTCTTACTATACTCTAAGCTTCTTGAGGGTGGCACTATGTTTTTCTTTTAAAATTAATTTAACATGTTTGAAAAGGAAATTAATGATTATGTTCAAAATACAGAAGACTCAGAAAAGTATCCAATACAAAGTAAGTTTCCCACTTCTACCCCTGTCATCTAGTCATCTACTGTTTCCTGAATGAGCACCAGCTAGTTTGTTCTGAACTTTTCCAAGCACTTGTCTAATCCAGTAAGTATGTATATACACATCATATATATAAACACATATGTGTGTGTGTATTTTTTATACAAGTGGCCATATATTATATATATTGTATTTTGCCTTCTTTCTCCCACTGTCTCAACAATAGTCTAGAGCAGCTGTTCTCAACCTGTGGGTAGCGACCCCTTTGTAACAATGAAAATACATCCTGCATATCAGATATTTACATTACAATTCCTGACAGTAGCACAATTATAGTTAATGAAGCAGCAACAAAAATAATTTTATGATGGGGGGTCGCCACAACATGAGGAACTGTATTAAAGGGTCACAGCATTAGGAGGCATTAGGAAGGTTGAGAACCACTGGCCTAGAGATTATTCCATATCAGTGTAGAATGCACTTCCTCATCCTTTTCAGCAGCTGAGTGATGGTTTCCTAAATAAATGTATTATAATTTATTTAACTTTATTAATGAATGTTTAAGTTGCTTCAAAGCTTTTGCTATAGATACATCTCATAATTGCCTTTATATTCTCAGAAACTATCTTAATATCTGGCAGAAAGTAAACATTTAAAAGTGTTGTTTAATAAAAGAATGAATATAGCCAGGGAGGATGTGGGGAGTAGTCTTTAAGTAACATTACACTAAAAGAAGCCTGCGCTACCATATTTATATTAGCGTCTGGAATGAAAGGAAGGACCTGAATTTCTGTATATTGTATGTACCTAAAAGTTAAAAATATATACAGGAGAGGAGCAAGATGGTGGCCGAGTAATCGCTTCCTTGCAACTAGGCACGGTGAGACTGGGGAGAGAAGACTCCAGGCATCTCTGGCTGGTGGGATCTGCCCAGAAACATCCCTTTGGGGACACATGGTGTCAGTGAGAGACTTCTGGACCCCATGAGGAGGACAAAAGCAGTGAAGAACTGGCAAGTGGTTGTGTGTGTTCGTTCAGTCTAATCCTGCTGGGAGCTCTAAGTATAGCAGTACTGAGATTGCAAACTGGAAAGGCCTTATCTGTGAGCTATTTCGGGTTTTTTGGACTTGACCTCAGTTGAACTATCTTGGGAGAACTTGAGCAAGAGTGCGGAGGACTTTAAGCATTGTCTAGGGCCCCGGACTGAGCAGCTGAGTAGCTAAGTTTGACAGAGCTAATAGTATTCAGCTATGGGCCAAGTGGAGCCATTGTGGGAGAACTGTCCTGGCAAGCTCCGCCCTCATGGTTGCAGAAAAAGGGTGGGAAACCTTGGGCGAGTAATCTAGTGACTGAGCAGCCTAAAGGCAGGGACTGAGACGCCTTCCAGCCTTGGCCCTCAAAGGCATACAGTGAGACTGGTTTTGGCACACTGGGTGGGGTCCTGTGTCTAAACAGGCTAGCAAAGAGCTGCTGACCTCAGGGGGAACCACCCAACCGAACACCCCCAGAGGTTGGGAGTTTTTAAGGACTCATCAAAACCCTAGTCCAGAGGCACAGTAACTTAAAGAACAAGAGGAAGTGAAAGGAAAATTAGGGCAAGGAAACAGATAAAAGAAAACACTCATGAGTAAGAATCAGCAGAAAAATCTGAGCAACATGAAAATACAGTCCAGAGCAACCTCCCCCACCCACCCCCCACCAAGGGACCGTGAGGAAGCTACTGCAGAGGATTACACCTATTAAGAAGTGTTACAAATGACAGAAAGGGAATTTAGAATACAGATGATGAAAAAAATGAAGGAAATGATGGAAACAATGAAGGAAACTGCTGATAAAGTGGAAAATAACCAAAAGGAAATCCAAAAACAGAATCAAATAAGAGATGAACAATATGAAGAATAGAAAGGATATAGCAGAGCTGAAGGAGCTAAAGCAGTCAATTAGGGAACTTAAAGATGCAATACAAAGCATCAACAACAGATTAGACCATGCAGAAGAAAGAATCTCAGAGGTACAGGACAAAGCTCTTGAGATAACTCAGATAGCTAAAGAGGCAGAAAAGAAGAGAGAAAAAGCAAAACATTCACTGACAGAATTATGGGACTTTATGAAGTGTTTAAACATACGAGTTATAGTATCCCAGAAGGGGAAGAAGAATGCCCCAGGGGAATGGAAGCTATACTAGAGAATATTATAAATGAAAATTTCCCAAATATCACCGAAGATTCTGACACACTCCTTTCAGAGGGATATTGGACCCCAAGTTGCCTCAACTCTAATAGAGCTTCTTCAAGACAGATTGTGATGAACCTGTCCAAAGTCAAGACAAAAGAAAAGATTCTTCAAGCTGCCAGGAGTAAGCACCAGTTGACCTACAGGGGCAAATCCATCAGGGTGACTGCAGACTTCTCTAATGAAACTTTTCAAGCAAGAAGACAATGGTCATCTACCTTTCATCTACTTAAACAGAACACTTTCTAGCCCAGAATTCTATATCCTGCTAAGCTTTAAAATTGACAGAGAAATCAAATCATTTACTGATATACAAACATTGAGGATATTTGCCAGAAGACCAGCTCTACAGGAAATACTTCAACCTGTTCTGTACACTGACCATTGTAGAGATAAGCACCCCATGCTCAGATATGGCAGTTTGCTTCAATGTGCTCCCCCAGGAGATTGATTCTGAGAAAGACTTCTTCAAAGATCAAGCTTCTGCACCTGCCTATAGATATGCAGAAAAATGCAGATGACCTCGCTTTAGAAATTCTGGAGAATCAGGGGTCTCAGCTGGGGGCATGAATGCCTGTCCTCAGTGTTGGGCTCTGCTCTCTGTCTTCTTCCTTCATTAACATTATAATCTCTAGTTTTGGTTTGGGCCAGCAAGGACAGACAAACAGTCTACCTTATGTTTTTACTCTAAACAAAATCAATTGTATATGTTTTCCTCAGCCCTCACACTGAATTGTAATCTTAATGGTAACTTCCTAATATTACTTCACTTCTTTGTATCTGTGTTAAATTCTTAATGAATGTTTGAAAGTATATAAGATAATCAGTAAAGTTAGGCCGGGTCGCTGACCAGAGCGAGTCCTGACCTCCCTTCAAATCAAGCATCCCGTCAGCAGTTCCTTCTCCCTGCGTCTCTGATCAGAGACTCCAAGAACACTTTCAGACCATCACAATGGATCAACAGCAAAGTAAGAACTCAGAAATTAAAGGACAGAACCTAACTTCCACAATGATGCAAAAGATAAAGCTAAGCAAAAGGACTTCACAAAATAAAATGAATAAAACACTACCACAGTTATCAATTATCTCAATAAATGTTAATGGTTTGAATTCCCCACTGAAGAGGCATAGATTGGCTGACTGGATTAAAAAAGACAAGCCATCCATTTGCTGTCTGCAGGAAACACACCTAGCCTCAAAAGACAAATTAAAACTCTGAGTTAAGGGTTGGAAGACAATTTTTCAGGCAAACAGAATTCAGAAGAAAAAAGGTTGAAATCTTATTTTCAGATACATGTCGATTTAAAGCAACTAAAGTCAAAAAAGACAAAGATGGTCACTTTATATTGGTTAAGGGAAAAATATAACAAGAAGACATTTCAATTCTAAATATTTATTCACCCAACTTAAATACTCCTAGATTCTTGAAATAGACCTTACTCAGTCTGAGCAATATGATATCCTATAACACCATAATAACAGGGGACTTTAAAACTCCTCTTACAGAGCTGGACAGATCCTCTAAATAGAAATTAAACAAATATATAAGGGACTTAAATGAGACCCTAGAACAATTGTGCTTGATAGACACAAATAGAACACTCCATCCTAAAGATAAAGAATATACAGTCTTCTCATTGCCCCATGGAACATTCTCCAAAATTGATCATATCCTAGAACACAAAACAAACCTTGACAGAATCAAAAGAACTGAAATTTTACCTTGTATCTTTTCAGACGACAAGGCACTAAAGGCAGAACTCAACTCTA